AGGTGTTTGTGAATCTCCCAAATAAAATAGGCTCGGATGCAGGCGTGGCATCCACTTCCACTTGCCTCTGGAAACTCTATCATTTGGAGAAAAGATGCAAGTTTTATGTTCAAGATTTTCATTCATTGAGTTGCTGTGGGTCATCTATGACTCTAAGCACTTAGCAACAACAACAACAACAGGAATATTGTGTTTCATGCCTTATATTCATATACCTTGTATTTTATGTAATTAATTATTATTGATAAATGCCAATTTTTTTCTCTCTCTTTTCAAGTCTCTTCTGGCTCTTTCCTATTGCTTCACCTCCTCATTTTCCCACTACACTGTGCTATCTTTATGATTTCCCTCTTCCACTTTTTCCATTCTACTTTCATTGTTAGAATGAGCTGAAGGTTATTCACTCCTTTACTCATTGACATCAAATTGGAATAAACTCAGTTGACTCTTCATTGAGTTTCCTGGGCTGTAAATTTCAAGGGAGAAGATTGACCATCTTTCTGCCTTTGATGCCACTGGCGGATTTAAACTGCCATAGAGATGTGACCTTTCGGTGAACAGTCAAACTCTCTTATGGACTACACTACTGAAGCTCCTTGAAGGATGTGAGACTTGCTTTGTATAACTAAGTCTCTAATCAGAAGGACCTTCAAATTTACTTTTTCTTTTGCCTATGCTTTGATTTAGCTATCATAAATTCATTCCTCTCTTAATTCATATTATTGTTTACTGACCATACTCATCTTCAATAAAGGAATTTATTTCCTTTTACTCTAATTCCTCATACACTCTTCACCTAATTTCCATTACTCTAATTCTTCATACAGTCTTCATCTAATTTCCATGCGTATGCTTTAATAGAAACTGATATTGTTGTTAAGTGCCATCAAGTTGATTAGGACTCATAGTGGCCCTATGAATAATAGATCCTAATCCTGCCCTATCCTGTGTCATCCTCATCATTTATGATGCACTCAAACCCACCATTATAATCACGATGTCAGCCATCTGGTTGAAAGTCTTCTCATTCAAGAAGCTGTACTATATGAAGAAGAATGTGGCATCAGTATTGGAGGAAGATTTATCAACAACCTATATTATGCAGAAGACACAATCTTGCTTGCTGAAAGTGATCAGGACTTTAAATACTTGCTGAAGAAGATTGAAGAGTACACTGTTCAAGAGGGCTTACATCTTAACAGCAAGAACACAGAAATTGTCATCATCAGGCCTATAGGGGGCATGAAGAAGGGATAGAAATTATCAATGACTTAATCTTTCTTGGATTCACATTGAACAACCTAGCATCAGCAGCCAGGAAATCAAAAGCTGTAGTGCATTGGGAAGGTGCTATCAGGGATTTCTTCAAATTACTGAAGAGCAGACATGTTAATTTGAAGACTCAAGTGTACCTGATTCATGACACGGTCTTTGAATCACTTGCTATGGATCTGAAAGTTAGACTGTGACTAAAAATGTCAAAAGAAGAATTGATGACTTTGAGTAGTGGTGTTGGGGAAGAGTGATGACTATCCCAAGTACTGCCAAAAAGACAAACTACTTGTTGTTGTAAGGTGCCGTCAAGTGGAGTATGACTCATAGCAACTCTGTTAACAGCTGACCAAAACCCTACTCTGTCCTATGCTATCCTCACCATCTCTGACACAGTAGAGCCTATTGTTAAAGTCACCTTATCAATCTAACTCATTACAGGTCTTCTTTCCCTGCTTAACCCTCCATTTTACCAAGCATGATGTCCATTTTCAAGGAATAGCTTCATGTGTTAGAGTTTTATTCTTTCTCCATTCCTATTCAATCTGTATGCTAAGGAAATTATTTGAGAAACTGGAATCTATGAAGAAAAATATAACATCAGGATTGAAAAAGGCTTATCAATGACTTTTTTTTTTCACATTCACACTTTCACGTTAATTAACTAGATCTTTAGCAGGAAACCTAGAACACTAATTTATGTGAATAAACTCCATTGGTGAGGGAAAATAAAGAACGCAGGTAGCTTTAGAGCTGAAGGGCTCTGATTTTTGGTAAAATTTGGGAGTCCACAGCTTTCTGAATAACTTTGCACTACTCTGTAATCTCATATTTCTCTTTCCCTGTGTCAAAGATCTTACCCTACTGGTGGCGGGGCTTCCACAGCTGCTACTGCTTTAAGTACGAGTCAGTAAGATGATTTGGGGTTTTCACACACCTCATGTCAACTTTAGTGGAGGTGGCAATGACAAATTCCTGGTGTGTTCTCTGAGAAACTTGATTGAAGGTCAAAGGCCCAGTCACAGGGAACAAGCTACTATTCAACTCCTTCAGGAAAACCACTCGCTTGTCTCTATGGTGCCCTTTGAGGATGATTAGAACTATCCTGGATGTGATGCCAGTGCACAGCTTCCTCACGTGCTGGCTTAAGGGCTTTTTGCAGTGGTCCAACAGCTTCTGCGGCACGTCTTCAGTATGGTCATATCTAGGCATTTTGCACAGTTTCATCACTTGGGTACCACTATTCTTATTCCCACCAACTGGTTTTGTGACATTAGCAAGAACCTTCTCCTTCTTCTTTTCAACTTTGAACTTAGTGGCTGAACATTTCCTCTTTTACATGGACTTCCTGGAATACATGGCCAATTGGGAATACCCATCAATCCCTAAGACTAGGATAGGATTGCAGCTGCAGTGGGGCTTTACCCTTGGCCTTTGTAACTTTGCCACTAGTATCTGCCTTCATGGCTTCTGGCTTGGCCTCAGGATTCTTCTCCTTGGTGTTTTACCTGTCATGTTGCAAGATGGATTGCTTCCCTCATCAATAACTTTTATTATGCAAATTACACGACCTAATTTGCTGAAAGTGAAAAGAACTTGAAGTACTTGCTGGCTAGGATTAAACACTACAGCCTTCAATATGAATTGTATCTTAGTATCAGGAAAACACAGCTTTTTCACCACTGGGCTATTGGCAACATCATAATGAAGGCAAGAAGGATTGACTTGGATCCACCGTTAAGACACTTGACAGCGGTCAGGACATCTGTAGATGTATTGCGCCAGGAGAGTCCATAGTCAGGGACCTCTCCAAGCTATTGAGGAGTAATGATGGCAGTTTGAGGTCTAAGGTGGACCTGATTCAGGCCATTGTCTTTCAGTCAATTTCTGTGCATCTGAGAGCTGGACAGAGAGTTAGGCTGACAAGAATTGATGCCTTTAATCTATGGTATAGGAGAAGAATGCTGAAGATCCCATTAACTGCTAAAAGAACAAACAGACATGTACTGGAGAAGGTACAGCCAGAGTGCTCCCTGGAGACAAAGATTATGAGGCTTTGTCTCACATACTTTGGACATGGTGCTTGCTGTTAATATATCCCGTTGAGTTGCTTGAGACTCTCAGCACCCCTATGTACAGCAGCTCTGAACCCTGCTCTATCTTGAGCCAGTTTCATTATTTCTGAAATACAGACTCCTTTTATCCAAGTCATTGAGACATCCATCTCACCCAGGGTCTTCCTCTCTTGTACTGTTTCTCCACCCTTCCAAGCATGATGTGCTCCAAGGACTGGTCTCTTCTGGCAGCATGCCAAAGTGTCAACCAGAGCTTCAAAATTCTTGCCTCCAGAAGGCAAATTGGTTTCACTCTCTCCAGAACAGATGTTTGGTCTCTTAAGTAATCCATGGTATGTTCAATACTTTATCCAGCACCACAACTCAAAGGCATCAATTCTTCTATCATTAGATTGTGAGGCTAGCACAGAATAGTGCACTGTTCAGATCTGTTATTCATAGGGTCAACTCAAGGGTATCTAACAACAACAGCTACACATTCCAAGTGTGAAAGGCAAAGCTTCGCCATCTTTGTCACCAAGAAACACTCTGGCTGCACTTTTTCTAAGACACATCTCTTTGTACTTTTGGCAATCCATGGGAAGATGTAATTCAGAAGTAGGGGGGCTGATAGATGTGGATTCAAATTTTATGATTTGTCTTTTACTAGTTGTATTCTTGTGAGCAAGTTAACATTTTTAGATCTAAATTATTTAGTGGTCTTATCTATGAGATAGAGAGCTCTAGTGGCCTAAAGACAAGAAGCTGTGCTGCAATCCCGAAGGCATGTGGTCCACCAGAGAAGAGTGGCAATCTCCTCCCATGCAATAAACTGTCTTTGAAAACTTGTGGGAGGATCTGCTATAGGTAATTTTTTTTATTTTATGGTACACAACAACAACATTTATGATATAGAACTTAGCAGGGTTATTGAGAGATGTTAGAATAAAGGGTTTAGTATAGTCCTTGACACATGTACTTGGTACAAGCTGGAAAAACACAGATAGATAAACCTTATCCATAATTCTTAAATAAGATAGATGTGGTTTCAGAGTTGATAATTTTGCAGATTTTCAAAGGTAAGTGTATTCATATATGACTTCAGATAGCCAATAGGATATTTGACACTTTTTTTTAAGAAAATTGATATTTTCATACAGACATGCAAGCTTCTCTTCTTTAACCTCTTGTTAATCCAGATCAGGTAGTGCCACCAAATGAGTTCAAAAAAGTTAAAAGCACTCCAACTTTCATTTTTTCAGAACATTTGAAAGTATAAAGGAATGACTAGGCACCTGGCAAATATACATTTTCTTATTGTTGACTAAGAATTATTCTCTCAGTTGAGCCGCCTATGTTACTTTGTTTTTAGGTTTTTAAAAATGTACCATGACATACTTTAAGTCCTACAGCTCACCTCTTGCCCTAGAGATCCTCATCGATAATCTCCATGTATTTTATTGCGAATATTATGTGAAAAAATAAATAACAGTATTTTATGATTATAACAGTTTTATATTGCATGTACATACAAAATTTTATATTATTTCATGTATTTTTAAGGAAAGGTAAATTGCCTCATTGACTAGTTGACATGGCTTAGTCTGATAATATATATTTTGCATATTTATTATTCATATTTGATTCTAGTTTGTTTGTTTTGTTTTGTTTTAGTGTCCTACTGAAACCAAAGCAACATTTGGGGTTCATCTTAAGATAGTTGGAGACTGGACAGGTATGTAGAACTTAGTTACATATTTTGAAAACAATACGATATATAACAATCTGAATGCATTTAAGTAGTATAACAATGAGTAAGTTTAGAATATGCATATGTTTTCAGGCTACTGTTTGTTTTGTTTATTTGTGCAGTTTTGATAGCCATGTTTTCTTTCTGTTAGAAGAAACACTTTCTCATTATTCCAGTACCCTGACCTATGATAGTTATTGAAAATATACTATTTTCACTGTGCTTTCACATCATAAGTACTATTTACTTGTCTGATACAATGGTAATAAAAGAACATTGAAATGTTTATTAGAAAAATTGACTTTTAAATTAGCAGTTGGTTTGACTCTTAAAATAATCAGCACTTGAAACTTAAATATCAGTCAAATATTTTATTTTTTGCTTGATCTTCTGTGTGGTATGTATATTTCTTTGGAATGATGATGACCATTAATAGTAGGTTATAGGTGGTATGCCATTCGCCGCCAGTTCAGTAAGTATTTTTTATTACTGGAAAATGTTTTGCATTTAGAGTTTTGAGGAAATATAAGGTATGTTATTTGTTCTTATCTTTCCTAACCCACCAAGGGGACTGACAAATGATTGCTTAGTAAATACTAATTTGCTGATTAGTTGATTAAATTGATTATTTAACTTAAAGCAGATACTAACATGAATGCAAAATGATGATTTTTATATTTAAATGCTAAACAATGATTTGTTTTTTAAAAAAACATGAAAGTCAGAAATGGTAAATTCTCTGTTATCTAGGGCTACAAAAGAAGCTTCACAGAAAAGAATTAAGGCTAAGCCTTAGAAATTGGGCAAAAGAAGTTAAAATAAAATAATTTAATGTAAAAGTTACAGGATTGCCTAGATGGCAGTTATGGTCTCTTAAGGGTAGATTCCCAGTTGTGGAATTGTGGGTATATTTATTTGCAACTTTTTGAGAAAGCACCACACGACTTTCAATAGTGATTGCACCATTTTGCACTTCCACAAACAATGAATAAGGGTTCCAGTTTCTCCACTACCTCACCAGCATTTGTTGTTTGCTGCTCTGTTAAATTTTGCTGTTCTTGCTAGGGTGAGATGATATCTCATACTTGTTTTGATTTGCATCTCTCTTAGAGCTAGGGATTTTGAGCATTTCTTCTTGTGCTTATTGGCCATCTGAATGTCTTCTTTGGTGAAGTGTCTGTTCATATCTTGTGCCCATTTTCCAATTGGATTATTTATCTTTATCTTGTTGTAGTGCTTAAGTATTTTATAAATTCTAGATAAGTCCCTTATCTGACATGTCATTACCAAATACTTTTTTCCAGTCTGTGGCTTCCATTTTTATCCTATTGGAGAAGTTTTTGGATGTGCATAGGGATTTGATTCTTAGAAGGTCAAAATCATCTATTTTATCTTCTCCTGGTTGTAGATTTTTCAGGATACTTGGAAGACTGTTTATGTTGTGGATTAGTACTACTAAAGTTCTTCCAAGCTTTTCTTTAATGAAGTTTATAGTCTTTGGTTTTAGTCCTAGGTCCATGATCCACCTTGAGTTGGTTTTTGTATATAGAGTGAGGTGTGGATCTTGCTTGAGTCTTCTGCAGATATTTTTCCAATTTTTCCAACACCATTTGTTAAAAAGGCTGTCATTTTCCCACTTAACTGATTTCATCTCCTTGTCAAAAATCAGTTGACCATAGGTAGATGGGGTGATATGATATATGCATACCCATTTTTATCACGGCTTTGTTCACAATAGCAAAGGGTTGGAAACAACTTCAGTGCCCATCAACAGACGAATGGATAGAGAAGCTGTGGTATAGTCACACAATGGAATACTACGCTTCATTGAAAAACAAGGAACTCATGCAATATTATTCAAAATGGGTAACCCTGGAGGACAAAATGCTGAGTAAAATGTCTCAGTCACAAAAAGACAGATACTGCATTGTTCCACTGTGTAGAATGGGACTGACATCAGGGTTGGGGTAAGACTGAGCTAAACTGGATAAATTATATATACTGCATTGAAACAGATGAGGGAGAGAACAGTTTAAAAGCAATATATGCTAGGGTATTATGGTTATCACAAGAGTCAAGAATTAAGGTTGCATAGTGGAGTGCACTCAGGGCGGGAGATTGTATACCCATGAATGAATTTTTCTTTTACTTTTCAAAGAGAGGAGTGAACTTGGGGGGAGGGGTGGGCAGAGAGAAAAGTGCAACCATGAATGCATAGAAACCTAAAATCTCTATAAATGTTCATTAAAATTAATTTTAAAAAAAGTTACAGGATTGCTAAAAATTAACATAGAATGTTTTTGAAGTATATTAATGAATTGTAAGTCAGCCTAGTAGAAACAAGATTTTCTTCTGGAAAGTGCTATGCATAAGTCATGGATGTCATTGTGGCAGGATTGTACAACTTGAAAGGCTATCTAGATTGAAAGAAACTATGAAATTTTGAGAATCATGGACTATTTGGGGGCAACTCTATGAGAAAAAAATGCCTTTCAGTTACTGTGTATATTTAAATTAGGAGATCTTCGAGAAGCTTAAAGGCAGAGTGGAAGGAGTCCATCAAGTGTACTAGAATGGAAACTGAAACCTAGTAGCAGATTATACACAAAAGTTGAGGATATAGTAGTACAGTATGGGGGATGGGGGGAAGAAATCAATTTCTATAAAAGTTAGAGAAGGAAGAGATGCTGGATAACAATCAAGGGATATTTTTGGAAGAGGAGGAGGGTAGCTGAAGGAGCTTCAGTAGTTTTAAAAATAGAATTTATGAAGTTCTTTGTCCATAGAGGAGAAAACCAGGTTGGAAATAGAGATTTGAAGAAAATGATACAAAGGATTTGATGGCAGGAAGCTAAATGAATCAAAAGATTTTTGAGCAAAAAGTGACCTATTTTTTAGTCATGGAAAACTAGGTTTATATAGACATTATTAATACTGATTTATCAAAAATAAATCATGGGAATTAATTATTAGGAAGAATATGCAAATAATAATTCTTAGAACTCCAGAACTGCTTGGAATAATCACACTTGTTTTGCACTATTTGTGACATTAAGAATAAATAAATTTCTTCTCTGGTAAGAATCATAATAAGAATTAAATTCACTAATTAATTTCTACTGATAGAATTCTGTGCCTAGTGGAAAACAAGCACTATCAAGATATCATTTAATCACAAGGGTAAGCAGAAATGTTAGTATATTACTAGTTATTGTTACTGGTTCCTTTTGGAGTTATTCTATCCCAGCTAAAAAAAAAAAAATTGATTGACTTACCATTTATTGTAGACTTCTCCAATAAATAAGCAGTTAATAATACTAATTATATGTATATGCCATTGAAGGAGAAGCCAGGTCATTTAATTTCTAGAATTTGGTCCTGGTCATATGCTTTTCAGTCCAAGTCTACAAAAAGTAAATACTGATACATAACACAATTCTGTAGTAGTAGTAGTAGTAGTAGTAATAATAATAATAATAATAAACATCTATGAGTGCATACATGGGAATTTACAGTGGTGTACTGGTAAGGAGCTGCTCTGCCAGCCCAGTGACACGTAGTTCAAATCCACTTGTTAACCAGTGGGGGAAAAATGGTAATCTCCTCCCATGTAATTTACATACTGTGAACACCTCCTGGAGGGTCAGCTATAAGCCTTTTCCAACTCTATTGCACATAAAAATGATAACAACATGAGTAGATACACATAGGTATCTACTATGATACATAACAGTATCACTGTAGGTAGATATGTAAGCTGAACAGATATAGGAAGGCAAATGGAAGAATGCCTATGAATATATATAGGTTTGGCAAAAGGTATTTATATCTTTGTGTTTGTATATGTTATAAACATATCTAAGAATATTGTGGCACATGCAGAGGACAAAGTTATGAAAACCTATCCAAACACCTTGAGGAATTCTCAGGTCACCTCTTGAATCGACAAATACAGTGTTCTACCTCCTACTTTGGTGGGCAGTAATTGGGTTTTTAAGTTTACAAATACCTACCTAAGTTACAGCCATTTGTTTCTCTTTCTGTTGGACGAAGAAGAGTGAAAAAACCCCAAAGACTCATCCAAAGGACCGAGGAATAGTTTCCACTACCCTGAGACCAAGTGGAACTCTGTTGGCCTAGTGAGGAGAAACTGTACTGCAGTCCCAAAGGCATGCAGTTCAAATCTAGCAATTGCTCCATAGTGGAAAAATCTACTCTCCTGCTATTTGCTACCTCTGAAAACCCACTGGAGGCTCAGCTATGGGTCTGTTGTGATTCAATAACAACAACCCTGAGATCAGAACTAGCTGATGCCCAGATACCACTACTGATCACTCTGATAAGAATAACAATAGGTTTTAAACATAAAGGGAGGGAGGGGAAATGGAGAATAAAATTCAAAATCACTCAAAAAAAGACTAAACTGGAACCTTGCCCCCTCCTTAGCCATACTCAGGATCTTAATTATGCTCAAACCCTTTCTAACAATTACCATATCAATCCATCTCATTATGGGTCTTCTCTTTTGCTAACCTTCTACCACTTGTATCATGATGACTTTTTCCAAGGACTGACCCTTCTGACAAAACATCTGCATTTACAATCTACTCAGCTAAATTAATAGCAGACTAATTACTAAAAGGAGGAAGTCAGCTCTGCCCCAAATATGTGATCTACAGTAGCACTCCCTGATTTCCAGCATCACCTCCTTCATTCAGTTCCCTCACTCTTCTATGTCCCTTGAGCTCTGTGGTTTTCTAGAATAAGCTCACAGAAACTCAAACCCATTTGGGATGTGACTCATGTGACTGTGGGTAGCATAGCTGGTTTTGCAGAGACTAGTGAGGGATGGGAAAGACTCAACCGTGGCACAGCTTGACGCTGTGTCCCAGGAGAATGAGTGTCCAAAAAGAGAAATAGCAAAGGCAAGAGCGAGCATTGAGCTTCCATGACCTAAGGTGGGCCTATAGTAGGGTGGAGTTTGT